GAGTCCGTATAGGCGTTTCGTATTAAACTGAGTAACCCACCGGACGAAAATTCCATAGCGTTTTGGAATCAATGAAGTTTCGTTCACACACTCGCGTCGACTGCGTTGCACTGCATTGCGCCGTGCAGCACAGCGCTTCCTTATTGGCTCGTCGTAAGGGTCGCCATAGCAACAGCTCGACGCAAAGCAGTCTTAACAAGGCGCACGTGGTTGCAGTTTCACTCCAACGCAACCGTTGGAACGCGCCTTGAGGGTGCAGTAAATAGAGAGCATTTCGTGAACCTCTAAAACACTTTCATTGGACAAAAACTAGGACTGCCTTGTGGTAATTGAAGAACACTTCGAAAATCGCGCGCCCAAGTTTGAAATCCAGGGAACAACAAACCTGTATACGTGTATGCATGAACCATTCGCTGTCGTTGGTGTGGCTGCCTAAACGACTTATGCAGTATTATTGGACACAAACTAACACCGCCTTGCGGTCACTGAAAAACACTTCGAAGATCGCGCACTCAAGTTTCAAGTGTGTAGCTCCACCCTATTGCGCGTCCTTGGTTTTGCCGGCTTAACACCAACCTAGCTTTATTCGCTTTATCACCCGAGAACCTTTCTGGCCTCATTCGTGAAAATGTTTTGTTTTTATTGTTTCCATTATCAGCAGTCTCACGTTTATGTTTCTACGTGCCGTCATGGGTGTCACGTGAGGACGTTGTGTAAAGTGACGTCTGAATATCACATGACGTTCGTGTGACGTCATTACATCCCGTGACACACGGTTTCACCTGACGTGCGTCACTGTGCAACGTGACTTGACATGACAGTGTCACCTCATGGTATCAGCTGACACCAGATCACGGGTGACGTGATGCGCGGCGTGACGTCAGTGGTGTGACGTCCATTTGGAATATTTTGGCGGTGTGCCAGGCCTGCATCGATATGGAGCACGGTAGACGGCGCGCAACCCACGAAGTGTCCAATAACTGCAATTGTAGTAAAAGATAGCCTCTATCTTTCGGCTCTGATATTGTCTGTATTCCATCAAAGCTAAAATGCACTTTCAGGGGCGGCTGCCGGAATTCCTTTTGGTTCGAATAATATCCTGCCAGACGTAGCAATACATCAGGCAAGCGGTTTTAATTTTAAATAACACTGGTGCCTGGCTGATGTCGGGTCTATTGTAAGATGAGGGAGAGGAATATCGGTTGTATGAAGAAAAAGGTCGTTCTAGAGGAAGGCCGGAAGGGGCTGTCTTTAAAACGGAACATTAAATATGAGCAAAACAAAGGCAAGAAATGGCTTAAATAAAAGCAAATGATATTAATGCATTAAAAGGAAGGTAAATGTAGTGGATTGCGATAGTTCCCCTTTAATTCAAAACCGCTTTCTGACTCAAGAAAAACTTTGGATTCGTTTAATGGCGCTCTTCACTCATGCTTAGGAGTTTTTCAATACAATTCCGTAGGCGATATTTACCGCGATTATTTTAAGCTTAGACTGGGTCCAAGAACGCTCATACCACAGCATGTAAACTAACATTTCTAAGGTAATTTAGACGGCCCGCCAAAATCGATTTCTCAACCTGGTGATAAAAACATGAGGTAACAAAAAAAAATATAAACTTACCTTGCTAAAAAAAAAGAAAATAAAGCTTCTTTTAGGTTGTTGCGGCATTTGAAGACGACGTTATGGCCGGACTCGCTTAGTTAAATCTACCGCCAACCGATGACCGAGGCGTCGCGCAAGATGGCGCCGAGTTTAGTAGTCGATCTTCTAAAACGTTTCACTGTGCTGGCGCGCGTGTCTCTAATGTTAAAATCCTATTATGCGATAATTTATTCATTAAAATATTAACTTCATAAGAAAACAGATATTTAAATCCAACATGGCTCCGTATTTTTGGTACGGATGATGATCGGTCGAGGGGCTGCATTACTCTTGTGTTTCACGTTGCGCCACCTTTCGGTAGCACATACAACTGGGCGAGCCTGGTCATGACATCGTCTGCGAATGCCACGGCAGGTAGCCCAATACAGGTTTTTATTTATTTATTTATTTTGAACAATGTATGCTTATTCGTTGATATTTCCACTTCATGCTTCCACCACCCTGCACATCCTTCGGAAATCGCAGCGCGATAGATTGAGAAACCGATTTTTTTTACCGTCTAAATTGGGTTATGAGCGTTAGTTTACATGCTGTAGATTATATTGGTTACGCGGAAGAACTTATAGAATTAAAGTCTGTGATAGTGGCCACTAGAATCAACCGATCTTCCGAGTCAAACCAAGTGGGAAATGGAAAGATTCATCGGTCGGAAAGGTAACCAAGCATAATGCTTACATGCATGTGGCGATAAAAAGATGTAGAACAAATGACACAAATGAAGAAACTAAATTATTGGTAAATTAACAAAAAAAAAACTATATTATAGGTTCTGTTGTTTTTATCGGTCAACTAATTGCCTAAAACGTAAAACGTGTCCGAAAAAAAATTGTTAGCTCAAACCGAATAATAATAAAAAAAACTGAAAATAATTGTTTAGTTTTTTTATAGCACTATGATGGTTGTTTCTTAGCAAAAATCGACTTCATCTTCATGCGTCTTTCGAATTTTCTTTTGAATTCCTCCTACGCAATTCGTCGGTGCTGATAGCCAAGGTCAGCGTTTTGTGAGCCGTAAGCGATTACGAAACGGTTGTCGCTGCAACTGCGAAGACGCAGCCCGAAAGAAATTCAACAAGCGAATACAATGCGCGTTCACCTTGCTGCGGTACTGAAAGTGTTCGGCGCAAGAAGTGACTCGCCACGCCTGTGTCGCCAACCAATCAGAACTTGCGGTCGAACCAGTTTGAATTACGCCGGGTTTTGTGCGTCCATTTCTTTGTTTTGCAAACAAGTCGAGAGTGTTTCACAATGCGACACGGGCACGAAAACAATGGGATATAAGGACGGTCCAGCGAGCGCGCAAAACACGCTCGCGGATTGCGACCATCCTGTGTGTGTTGAGAATGCTTGTGCGCCGCTCTGTGCCGCACCGGCATTATCCACTTTTCGCGCATTTCACAATACGACGTCCATAAAACACGTTGCTTCCGTCGAAAACGAAACAATGGAAAGATATCATGCATACCTGTCCGGTTCTTTTCATATAACAAAAATGGTAAATTTATGACGTTCGTTCAGAATAAAAGGTGCGCAAATATAGTGGTCCGAAATTGTACAGCGCTTCGTCACTCATAGCCATAGCGATGCAAAAAAAAAAAGCAACATGTCCACTCTCTTCTTATTACTGAAGCTTTCAATCACAATCCTCTATTTGTTTAAAACCACCATTCACAAACCTCTATTCAAAGCATTGACTTTATCTCTGTTTCGATATATTACAAGATTTCATAATCAAACATTAATGAAACGCATGCTAATGAACCTGCACAGTGACGACAAATTCGACAAAAAATTTCAAAGTGCCTCGCACTTGTTTTTCTGAAGAATTTCGCTTTGAAGTGTTGCCAAGAAGAAGGCAGGCTATTATATATATTTTTTTTCGTATCTATCTTTTGGTTCCTGTTTACCCTCTCACCATTACCCCTCTCTTTTTTCATCTCTCTCTTTCTTTTTTTTTTTTTGCGATGCCTCTTAAGTTGCTTGGTGAGCTGTCGCGTGCCACTAGCCAGATTTGTCTTAGAAACGGAGTACCAAGGCTCGAGCCTCAAGGTTGACTGACATAACGCAGGCTCGGCAAGTCGTTCTACTAAATTCGAGCCCATACATACAACCTATAGTTTATCATAACCTGTTTTATGTCTCCAACAGATGTAGCTCTTTTCCTTCTCGTTGCTTGTTTCTATTTTGTCTTGGTGAAAACTATGGCGCACTTCGATAGCTACACTTGCGTATCAAACTACCCAAGGACGAGTTTTATTTCAATTGATTCTTCTGCCCGCTTCAGAGGTGACAACACTCGATACATTCTGGCTGATGAAACTCCCGTTTTGTTGAAGCCTGTCGAATAAACGTGACAGCAAATATGTGCCGTTCCTTTGAAAATAGCTACTCGAATGTCGCACTTGCGCCACTCATCATCCTACGACAAGTCCTGCTGTAATACGGCAAAATGTGTTTCTCTGAAATTGCTATTCGCATCCGCCATAAGCGAACAGCGCTTGTTCTTGAAAGGCTTTTATGTTGCATAACTGCGAACTAGGGGAAGACATTTTGACGAAATGGGCTATCTGAGAAGAAAATAAATCGACAACGGTAACTGCGAGGAAAAGAAGAAAAATGGGCGTAGGTAATCCACGCAGTGGAATATCAGAAAAGAGGTGTCTTTTTGTGCATTGGAAAAAAAAGAACATGTTAAAATACTTTGTAGTAAATGCGTTTCGAAAATAAATAAGAAAGGATGGCCACCCACCATACTTGGGTATCAAACCAAAACATGATCTCAAACACGCACACACAAACACACACAAACACACACGCAAGCACGCACGCACACGCACACGCACGCACACGCACGCTCACACGCACACACACACACACGTGAACCCTTGTGCGATGGAGATTACTAAACATTGCACAGTATAAAGCAGCCAAAAAGCAAGCGCACACCAAAGACGATGCGGATATTACGGAAGATGGATGAATCGGTCGGACCCCCTCAGAAATTTGAGGCAGGAGACAGTATTTTGAAATTCATTTTCATCGGCGCTTATCACCATCCTTCTTCCGCCTCCTGCGATATGAGCGCATAAGTTCGTACACGCAGATCGATATTTCACGTACAGAGCACACCTTCGCAAAATCTCAGAGTAAACATTGCGTTGTGGAGTTCATGTTTCCCCAAGAGACGCTTCATCGTGACACTTCTAAAGATGCTCCAAAACATTCTCCCAGAGCATCTTTAGGAAGACGCTCCTAGAGCGACTCTCCATCAAATCGAAACGGCTCGGTGCTGGCTTAAGGTGAAAAGCCGATAGAAGAAAATCGACGTCAACTCACCGTTGCCAACTTTCGGATCAGCGAGCGGCAGGTACGCGCAGGCTCTCGAACGCTGCGCTGTTGTCCTGGAAAAAGAGAAACGGGATAAGGAGCTTAAACAAGGAGCAAGCCGGTATCAACACGAGTAACTCTAGCCTAAGCGAACGTAATGACGTAATGGCTCGATAATAAAGAAGAAGGCCATTGCGAACACGCATGCACTTTCCTCGAGCAAAGGTTTTTGAGAGGCGAAAGTTCTTCGAGGAAAGCTCGGGTAAGCCGCCGTAATGGATTCTGCCATCCAGAAAAAAATATTCCCAGCTGCTCACCTTTCGAGTGATAGAAGCGCATACAGGCTTACGACGTTGAGTAGAAAACGTGCCTCCATCGCTATTGTTAAAATAGTGAGATTGCGTGCTTGGTAAGTGGCGTTTTTAATGCTCATTTTTGTTTAAACTTTCCGGGCATTCGTTATAGTCTGTTACAAAATACGGTATATTCAGATTTCGCACTTGAAAAACACTGCGAAAAATTTAACACAACGCGTTCTTTAAGAACACTCGACAAACCTAATGGTATAGTGCTCAGTTGCGCGACACCCTTGTGAACGAAAGAAAGCAAACACAACATGGCTCCATTGGTTCCCTATGCATCACCCTATTCATCTTGATTGTAGTGAAGAGACAGACAGCTCTTGACGTGAACGCGGCTATCATAGCTATATTTTGAACTAGATCAAAGGTGGAATGTAAGCGGATTTCTGTAAAATCGACGATTTAAACCGGTCGCCTCGGGACACAGAAGACAAGTCTAAAATTACGTGTTTGTGGTTCTTCCTATCTCCGCGCTTCAGGGTTAGAATGTCTATCTCGAGCCAGGACGCTCAGAAAAGCTTATCGTGCTCTGCGTCACTCACTCTCTAAGTTTATTCTCGCACACCGGTTTGACGTGCCCAGAGGAAAGGAACTTTAATAACCGCCCCCCAAAATGTTTTCCAGGCAATGGTTGGAAGCATCTAAACTTCCTCTTCCTTTCTTTTTCTTCACTCTCCCCTCACATCCCAAGCAGCAGGCCTAAGATACGTCTAACTTGGTCCACGTTGGCAATCTTAGGAGCCTAACTTGGACATAATATCGTTCGGCTCCAAAGCGTTAGTTAGTGCCAAGGTAATATTATTAGGCGTTTTTTTGTTCCGCCATATAATTGCCAAAGTGGCAGACATTAGTCAAAGACACCACGTACCAACCGAACCAACAGTAGTTCTAACACCTCTTTAGCAATTCAGGCCCAAAGTTGACAAGTTAAAACTGAAGAACCCCAAGTGAAGCCTAATTCTGGCATTTCTACGGGTACCGAGGATCAAAAAAGCCAGGTGACTACTAAATAACCAGCCAGTGAAGACTAACTTTGGCACTTGTTTGACAATTTACGGCTAACATTCCCAGACTTTGACCAAAGAATATAAATGTTTGGCTGTATCTAGGCTTTTAAAGGTTAACGGGCTCAGAATTGGAAGACAAAAATACAGTTTGCCTTAAGGAAGTGTGCTACTGGGATGCCACAGGTTTTTACGCTGCTCTTTTTGTGCAACCAAACTTTTGAGACATCTGTCACAAGCGTTAACTCTCTTCTTAGAAAAATGAAAGTTTATCTATTCAGAATTACGTTTTCTAATGTGGACCATTTTAACCGAAACCTAACGAAGCGGTTCCTATAAAGAAACATAATCGATCTGCTCAGAAATAAAACTAAAGAATCCTAAACAAACCATAATACAGCGCTTTGGAACAATAGTCTAATAACCCTGATTCAGGGGAATGCCAAAGGTTTTCAGAACACACTGCTTTAAGGAATAGGCGAACAAGCTCGAAATGTTGACTCTGCCAACGCCACCTAGAAAGATCAAGGCCTGCGAGCCATCCTTCCCTTCCTCCAACCTAACGTCGTCACAACCAGAGAGCGGCAACACAGCAATTAGACCTAAGTCCGATGCGCAGCGTGCTTCGACGTGTTGATTAGACACGAGGGGCAACCGAACTCTGCCGCAGCACTCGTGTCTACGCGTGTCCAGCTACGATGACGTCATAAGCCTAGTGCAAGTGCTATGAATATTCTAGGTATAGCCTCCCATTAACTCACAAAGCCTGGCAATTCGACGACGGACCCATAGAATGACCGGTCGCAGATTTGGAGCGCGAGGATCTGGTAGCACAGAGCATTTCTCGGGGGGACTGTAGTCAGCGCACAGCTTTTGCAACGGCGAGTACCCGAAATGTTGCTTTTAAAGCCCGACAAAAACAGAAGCTATAGCGCCAGGAACGAAAGGGCAGGGTATTGAACCGAACCCGAAGCATGAATCGAAAACCGGAAAAAAATCGTTATTTTCGCTCGAACCGGAGTTGAACCGGAACGAAACAAACTTTTTGGCTCCGGAGCGGAACCGATGCGTTTTCCATGCGGTTTTCGGTTCGAACGCGAAGTCAGGTCACGTGGAAGTGCGTGGCCAAAAACATTGTAACTTCCCAAATAAACCAATAATGTAAAAAAAAACAGCTTATTTTTGAACAAATTGGAGAAAGCCGTACGTTTGTTAAGAGACTACGTGTCCAATGTGCTATGTCCTGATCAGAAAGCTAGGATTGAAGAAATTAGTGCTCGATTGTCCAACGCGGTGGATGGCCACGCTGAATACGCTCACCAGGCTACTTGAACTGAGATGCTAAGAGGGTCGCTTTCAAGAGATGAATGCTCCAGGTCAACTGAAGACGTATGGGCGGAAGTCGAAATGCTCGCAGTATCGCTTCACCCGGCGGTAGCGGCTACGAAGACAATGAAGAAGGAACAGCTCACTGTAGGAGATTTCTATGGAGCATGGCTGAGATATTCCATGGCCGCTTCCAAGATAACGTCGCCGTTAGCAAAGGTCTTGGTCGAGTCAATGAGAAAGAGGAGCGAAAACTTCTTGAAACGAATGTTTTGTGTGCAGCTGTGTACAAGGATCCCCGCTACCGCCTTCTTCTCACCTCTGACCACAAGTACCGGGCCACGTTGCATTTGACAAAGAGTTGGAGGCGGATCACAGCTTTGCAATGCGAGAAAGATTCTACCCTATCTTATGAAACTGCGGCGGCTCCAGAAGATCTGGAAGACGCCCTGGAAGTACTCCTCAAGAAAAAAGAGGTCGACGCTGGCTTCAACGTTCCAGGTACCAGTAGCCCACTTGATATAGCATGCCTCCTGGAAATGCTAAAGAAAGAGCCGCGGCTTTCAAGGGACGCTAACGTGTTTCAGTTTTGGGATGAGAGACGGGAACGCCATCCAGAACTCAGCGCATTGGAGCAAGTAGCCCTAAGAGTGCCTGCGACCCATGTCAGCGTGGAGCGAGCATTTTCTGCACTGAAGTTCATGTTATCGTCTTTGAGGTGCCGTTTTTCCCCGGATATGCTTGACGACGTCGTGCTTCTTCAGTCAGCTGCTTGACATTGCACTGCGCTTTCACCCACGTCCCGAAGTGCCCAGCACTAGCTCGTTCGTTCCACACAGTAGAGTGAGACTTTGCTTTTTATATGTAACACTTTCATAAAATATGCATAGTTTATCTTTGGCTGTCGTTAATTGTTTTCGTAGCACATGAGTACGAACCGGTTCAAACCGGTTTGAACCTTTATTTTTTCACCCCGGAGTTGAACCGGAGCTGAACAGTTTTCCCTGAACCGAAACGAAAACCGGAACAAAAGCATTTCGGTTCGACAACCGGAAGGAAAACCGGAACGAAAACATTTCGGTGCGCAAGGAGCACGAGCGGACATTCCATCACTGGGGACAAGTGTGTTCCGGCTTCTCGCCGCAGCGGGGCGCCCGTTACATGCCTCTCCTCTCATCCGTTGTTCTGTCGCTCTACCTTTTCACTTTCGGCGGCTGCGTCTCGTGGCATTCTGTCAGGCTTTGTCAGTATAGAAAAGCTATAGTCTAGGTGGTTTTCTCTCTATTCGTGTCCATCGGCGTGCGCTGGTTCGCCGATCCTTAAGAGGAGTTCTTTCAGAAGGCATTTAACTTGCACGTAGAACAGGGTAGAAAATTGTAGGAGAGCATATCGACGCACTTATTATATCTGAAGTGGGGAAATATTTACTTGGGAGTTTTCTTTCTCTGATTTTTTTTCTACTGAAACCATTTTTTCAAATACCATTCTGCACAAAGTCATTTCGTTCGTAACTTCCTTTCGGCCGCTTCCCGCTTTCTATTCATCTATTATACACAATACCTTGCATGCTAGAAAACAATTATCACAAAAGTACTTGAGTTTCGTGTTTTCCTTTTATTTAGAAAGTTAAACGTGTATTGGAAAGTTTATTCTCAAAAAAACAATATTTGGTCAATAAAAAAATCTGGGCTAAAGCTTTCAGGTAATTAGTCGTTTGTAACATGATTCCAGATGCACTAACAGCTATGCAAGTCGAAACTTGGCAAGAGCGGACGACATCACGTGCATTCTGACAGATTTTCGGTTTCGGATTCAGTGTCATTCTCAGTAGCCTCAATATGTTGAACACATAACGGAACTAGGACGGTCGTCACAGGCAATATAATATCGCGTTCCTACTAAAGTATCAGGGTGCTCATTAGGCAAGTGGATAGTTTTTATCTTGCTCCTTGTTTCGCATAACTTTCCTCTGCCCCTGTGTGTTTTGGTACCATGTCTCTAATTGCCCTGTTAACGTGATGAGAACGCAAACCTAATTAGGTAAAACAGAAGCCTTGAAGGACGTTTTACCTTCTGCCGGGCTGTGGCTGTACATGCGACAAAGTACTATCAAGCGTAGAAAGCTCGCGCTGGAAGCGGAGTATCCACTGAATTCTTCACTCGCCATCGACTGTAGAAATGCAGAGTGGCCTCGGAGGTGCGCAAAAACTCGTTGTTTCTTGCGGAGATCGCAAAATCGAAACTTCAGGCAATTTAGAAAGCTTTTGCGAAATTGAGAATTCGTTATTGATAGCCGATGATTTTTTATCACTTTGCATAACAATCGGCATAGACGGACCGTGACAGCGGCTGATGCATCTATCACTCCCAAGAGCACTTGGG